TTTTAGCGACTGTCTTTGAGCGACTGTCTTTTAGCGACTGTCTTTTAGCGACTGTCTTTTAGCGACTGTCTTTTAGCGACTGTCTTTTAGCGACTGTCTTTTAGCGACTGTCTTTTAGCGACTGTCTTTTAGCGACTGTCTTTTAGCGACTGTCTTTTAGCGACTGTCTTTTAGCGACTGTCTTTTAGCGACTGTCTTTTAGCGACTGTCTTTTAGCGACTGTCTTTTAGCGACTGTCTTTTAGCGACTGTCTTTTAGCGACTGTCTTTTAGCGACTGTCTTTTAGCGACTCTCTTTTAGCGACTGTCTTTTAGCGACTGTCTTTGAGCGACTGTCTTTTAGCGACTGTCTTTTAGCGACTGTCTTTTAGCGACTGTCTTTTAGTGACTTTATGTAAGCGACCGTCTTTCATCGACTGTTATTTTCATGTCTATGGTAGCATATAATAATAAATGAGAAATTGGAGTCAAGGTTTCCGTATCTCAAGCAATACAACCAGAATCTTTGTTTGATTCGCGTCGAGTGCCGTTGAACAAGTTTTTCCGTGATGTGCCGTGACGAATGTCTAGACGCATGCACTTGATTAACCTGTAGAGTTGGGCTTTTATCAGGCCACGATCTAGAACTGAGGGAAAAATATCAGGGCGGTTGGTCGCAGAGAATAGCCGTTGGGGGAGGGGAGGGGGGGGGGGGAGCTAGGAAAAAGTATCGCGCATTCATCAGTTTCTTATCTTGGATTCTAGTGCGTGTTAGCGTCGTGTTATGGAAAGTGCTAGAAAACCAGACTAGTTAGAACGTTATGACCGCAGCGACACAAGACTCATGGACACACGACCCATTGACACACGACCCATTGACACACGATCCGTTGACACACAACATGACACACGACTGAAGTGACTTACGACAAAAGTGACACACGATCGAAGTATCACACCATCGAAACGACGTAAACCGAAGCAATGCACCACCGAAGTAATACACGAACAAAGCGACACACGAACAAAGCGACACACGAACAAAGCGACACACAAACAAAGCGACACACAAAGTGACACACGACCAATGTGAGTTACGATCAAAGCATCACTCAATGGAAGTGACACACGAACAAAGCGACACGCGAACAAAGCGACACGCGAACAAAGCGACACACGAACAAAGCGACACACGAACAAAGCGACACACGAACAAAACGACACACCAACAAAGCGACACACGAATAACGCGACACACGAACAAAGCGAGACACGAAAAAAGCGACACGCGAACAAAACGACACACGAACAAAGCGAGACACGAAAAAAGCGACACGCGAACAAAACGACACACGAACAAAGCGACATACGACACATCGACACGCCACCGAAGTGACACACGACCCCATCAACACACTACCCACAAACGCCACACCGCATACACCATCACACCAACAGCCCCAGCGGTCATCAAATCTTCAACCAATCAAACCCCACCAGCCTCTACCGGCGCCTGATAAATCTTGCACGCCGGTCAACAAGGAAGCCCCACAATGCCCAGCGCCTTGCTGACGTCACTGTCAACACCGCCTCGATGCCCAGCTGCCGGCCAGCGCCTGACGTACTCACTTCAACAATACATTATCGCGATTAGTGGCGACGATACCACTGCTCAAGTCGACGGGTAATCGCCCGTGCTAAACTAAGATCGATACGATAATATCGTTATCGTCCTCTTGATGACGGAGCATGTGTGGACATAGCTAGGCCTGGTTTATATTAGGTCTTTGGTTCATACTAGTTCCCTTGTTCAATACTAGTTCTCTAGTTCAGAGCTAGTTCCCTAGTTCAATATTAGTTCCCTAGTTCAATACTAGTTTTCGAGTTCAATACTAGTTCCCTAGTTCAATTCTGGTTCCCTATTAAATTTCAGTTCCCTAGTTCAGTGCTAGTTTCCTAGTTCAATATTAGTTCCCTAGAACAATACTAGTTCCCTCGTTCAATATTAGTTCCCTAGTTCAATACTAGTTCCCTGGTTCAATACTAGTTCCCTATTTCAATACTAGTCCCCTAGTTCATTCTAACTTGTAATACATTACAAAGATCCTTTAATTTGAAACCTGTTCCCTAATTTCCTAAGTTTCCTAAAAGATCACGTATATGACCATCATTTCGTATTTCTTTGAATGTTTTTTTTAATCATATTCCCAATTTTACCCTATTTCGCTTTTTCATTATAATTATTAAATTATTCCTTGTTCAATAAAAAAAAAACTAATTCATATGCCAACGGATTCAAAGTAAGTGAACTTTTGGAATCTAAATAGATCGGATATCACTATCCAACAATTTTTTCACAAACACTTTTTGTAGTAATTTTAAAAAAAAAATCATTATTTTAATCGACTCCGCAAGAGATTTTCTTTAAAAGTCATCGCAGAAAGACAAATCGCTTAAAATAGTAATTAGAGTGCCATAATTAGACGGCCCTAATGCGAAATCATTCAAGCGTTAATCGCGAGACAAGATAGGCGGTGACACCTGTCGGAAGTAGGTCGCTGGTCGCGTGACGTAATCAAATCGATAGACTGGATAAACAAAAATGGCGTTAACAGAAGAAGAATAAGTCACAGCTTTAGTAAAAAATAAATAAATAAAGATTGAAACAATCATCAGTGAAGTGAGTTAATTTGGACGATGCATAAAATGAATGTACGCACACTTCAAACAAATAAACTGAATCTATTGAATTTGAACAGCGCTTCAAGTGTTCAAGACGGATGTTTTCAGTTCAATAATAGTTAATGCCGGATCTCTTCATACACGCCGAATGATGATTTTTTAAATTTAATTTAAAATGATGGATATTTAAAATTTAATTCTTAATGCTGGGTTTTAAATCCAACACCAACCGCAGGATTCTTGTTTCATACAAATAGCGTTTTTTATAACACTCAAAAATGTCAGTTTAAAAAAAATTCCATACAAAATGCCAGATTTCATTTTTTAATACCAAATGCGGGTTTTCTGATTAAATACAGATACCATGATATCTTCTCCCTTAAAGAAAACACGAAACAGCACTATGGGATTTAATTTAGCTTTCATTCCCAACACGCTTTGTACAAAACCGGGGAATACCATACAGACATGCTCAGAAAATCCCTGCAAATCTCGTTATTTTAGCACCGAGACGCTGTATTCATGTAGCAGCGTTGCAGTTTTAAATACCGTGCTTTATTGTCGTGCTCAGCAAACAAGGAACCATCAGCAGTTTTCTTGAAAGCACGACACGCCTCGTACTTTAGCCAAAACAATCAGACTTGAGTCTATTGATTTTTTAAGTCTAAAATAGAATTAACGATATTATTTGTTAAGGGACGGAGGGCCGGATAATATGAAATGGATATTTGGCCCGCAGGCCGACGTTTAAAGACAACATTGGAAGGTTTCGCCAAGATTTAGTGTAGTTTTATTGAAGGTTTTGTTTTAAAGTAAGTTTAGGTTTATGAATGTTTAGCTTTGTGGCAAGTTAAGGTTTATGAAAAGTTAGGTGTAGTGAAAGTTTAGGTTTAAAGAAAGTGTAGGTATACGTACAGTGAAAGATTATAAAATGTTTAGGATAAAGAAATGAATTTGTTTATAGAAAGTGTATGTTTATCGAAAGTATCATGCGGTAAAGGTGTAACAAAAAGTATACGGTGTTCGAAAGCACAAGTTACTAAATAATATAGGCTTCTTGAAACTCCATACAGAAACATTAATTAAGTATTTAAAAGATTGTGTTGGCCATACAAAAATACTTCTTCATGCCCTAGCCATACACCATACTAGTGGATGCTGCCATAGCAATACATTATACTAGTGGATGCTGCCCTATGCCCTAGCCATACAAGATACTGGTGTACGCTGCCTCCTGTTTGAGAGAGACCTCATACCTGAGACAGTCAAGACACCTGAGTGTCTAATACCTGAGACAGACAAGACACCAGATGAGTGTCTCATCCCTGAAACAGACAAGACACCAGATGAGTGTCTAATACCTGAGACAGTCAAGACACCTGAGTGTCTAATACCTGAGACAGACAAGACACCAGATGAGTGTCTAATACCTGAGACAGACAAGACACCAGATGAGTGTCTAATACCTGAGACAGTCAAGACACCAGATGAGTGTCTAATTCCTGAGACAGACAAGACAATAGAGTGTCTAATACCTGAGACAGACAAGACACCAGATGAGTGTCTCATCCCAGAAACAGACAAGACACCAGATGAGTGTCTAATACCTGAGACAGTCAAGACACCTGAGTGTCTAATACCTGAGACAGACAAGACACCAGATGAGTGTCTAATACCTGAGACAGACAAGACACCAGATGAGTGTCTAATACCTGAGACAGACAAGACACCAGATGAGTGTCTAATACCTGAGACAGACAAGACACCCGAGTGTCTCATACCTGAGACAGACAAGACACCAGATGAGTGTCTAATACCTGAGACAGACAAGACACCAGATGAGTGTCTCATACCTGAGACAGACAAGACACCAGATGTCTAATACCTAAGACAGACAAGACACCAGATGAGTGTCTAATACCTGAGACAGACAAGACACCAGATGAGTGTCTAATACCTGAGACAGACAAGACACCAGATGAGTGTCTAATACCTGAGACAGACAAGACAATAGAGTGTCTAATACCTGAGACAGTCAAGACACCTGAGTGTCTAATACCTGAGACAGACAAGACAATAGAGTGTCTAATACCTGAGACAGACAAGACACCCGAGTGTCTCATCCCTGAGACAGACAAGACCCCATAACCTTGACCTACTCACCGACAGCAGGTACTGCTTCTCCTAAGACAGACAAGACACCTGAACCTTGACCTACTCACCGACAGCAGGTACTGCTTCTCCTAAGACAGACAAGACCCCATAACCTTGACCTACTCACCGACAGCAGGTACTGCTTCTCCTAAGACAGACAAGACCCCATAACCTTGACCTACTCACCGACAGCAGGTACTGCTTCTCCTCATTGGTTAGATCCACGTCCTTCCTGAAGACCCCCATCCCCAGGAAATCCTCCCCCGTGTCCATGCCCAGCTCCTCCATCATGCGGGGGGCGGCGTTAAGCAGGGACTCCCTGTAGGCGAGGTAAACCTTGTCCATGGCGCCTGGGCGGGGGGCTCACCCCTGGGGGAGAGAAAAAAATTAGTCACGTGAGTTTTACAAGAGAAAGTGTGTATGATTTTTGTTATGTTGTGTTTATCAGTGTGAGGCGTGTAGATCAAAGTAGTAAAAAATGTCATAGCGTAGATTTATATGTGGCAGAGTAAGGCGTAGATATTAAGGAATTTTAAAGTTGGTTGGTATTGAGAGTAGACGATGTGGTTCTAGAGTATTTGCTGTTGTTTTACTAATTTGCTACAATATGTGTAAAGTGAATATGCCGTAACGGATACATGACGACGTAATAGACACGATTTGGGGACAGTTGGTGAATAGATTAGCTACAAGAGGAAAGTGCATTTGGGTCGAAACGAATTTAGAGTGAATTCAGACAGCTGCGTTAGTAAGTAACAGACGCGTAGCGAGGGTGGGGCGGGCGGACCGTACCGGGTGACACCATTTAGGGGGGGGGGGGTGGCAAAAAAATAATCGCAAAACTGATTAATTAAATTAATTTAAATAGGTTTTTTTAGTACAAATCGACAATTATTTCAACGTGTTACCTACAGAAAAAACAATTCTACATCCAACTGTATTAACAGACTATAGATAAACAACGTTATAATTAAGTATGTAGTGATTAAAGTTTATACACATACATACATGCATACATTCATAAACACATAATATATATATATATATATATATATATATATATATATATATATCTATATCTATATCTACATATATATATATATATATATATATATATATATATATATATATATATATATATATATACTTTGGTTTTGGTTAGGGGGGGGGGGGAGACACCACTAAGTGCCGCACCGTGTTACACCTGACCTAGCGACGCCACTGGTAAGTAACCACTAGTGTCATGTGTTGTTTTGGTTTGGGAAGTGTTAAGGTAAAATACCACACTATACCTAAAGATATACAGTTTAGAAAACATGACCAGTGTTTTGTCAAGATTCACCGGGGAGATATTTGTTGGTGATATTCCTTTTTTTTTCGTGAAGTTTTGACAAAGGTAGGTAATGATCTTTTCTAATGTTCCAACGAAACAGCGCCCACATGAAGATAAATAAAAGAATGAATTGTCTGATCTTTACATAATTAAACAACAAAATCCCTGAATCTAAACACACAGTTAGAAGCAGATATAAGGCTGGATTAAATTTAACAACAAAGTGAAATGCTGAACCAAACGAAGTCCATCACAAAGCGAATATTCCATAGCGAAAACTTCATACGAACAAGGAACTTTTGAAGTTTTTTTAAACAGAAATTTTTACCAAACAAAATAATTGTTTACGTTATTTGCATGATGAAGATCTATAACTTTGGATACAACCACAATCACAGAATATGCCAATGATCCTGGTAAAACTAGAACATTCGAATAGAGATTCGACAAAAAAATCCAACATTGAGAACACAATTAATGGGATGGGGGATCAAAAATGGGGAGCCAAGTTTATTTAAAGCCGGATTAGATGAGGATTATTCAACGGGGGAACTGGACATCATGCCGCGGTGTAATGAATGAGGCACAGCACTTTGTTATGATGTGGTGTACAGCACTTTGTTATGATGTGGTGTACAGCACTTTGTTATGATGTGGTGTACAGCACTTTGTTATGATGTGGTGTACAGCACTTTGTTATGATGTGGTGTACAGCACTTTGTTATGATGTGGTGTACAGCACTTTGTTATGATGTGGTGTACAGCACTTTGTTATGATGTGGTGTACAGCACTTTGTTATGATGTGGTGTACAGCACTTTGTTATGATGTGGCATAGAGCACTTTGTTATGATGTGACATATAGCACTTTGTTATGTGGCATAGCGCTCTATGTCATGATGGAATTTTTAAAATCAAGAGTACACTTACAACAACCGCAACATACATTAGCACCCACACACATACATTAGCACCAACACACATACATTAGCACCCACATACATACATTAGCACCCACACAGATACATTAGCACCCACAACATACATTAGCACCCACAACAGGGTAAAATAATTATAAATACCCATAGACATGCACACACAACTACATACACAAATGCTCATGGCCATAAGCACGCGTAAACACACATAAGCATATAAAAAGGAGCTCATATACATACAGACAGAAACAAGACAATGTACACAAACGCTGACAACCACATAAACATACACAAGCACACATACAATTTTTCGCACAAAACCTTAAACCGCATACAAATACTCATCAAACAATACATATACAACTCACAACCATACAGATAGACAAGAACTTGCGACATTTGAGCTATGGGGATTAATACATTTAACCTTCGAATTAGGCTTAAAGATTAGCCTCTTAGAAACATTGCAAACATTATTGATTGGTGAAATGTGGGGGAGGTAGGGGTTGGGGGGTGGGGTGAATAAATAGGACTTACCAACAGCGAGTGTAATTAAATTATTTGGCAAATTATGAAATTATGTAACTGCTGAGTGGTTAGGAAAAAATAATGAGTTTGTGTGGGTGGGGGGGGGGGGTAGGTCATATTTAATGAATAATGAGTTTGTGTGGGTGGGGGGAGGTCATATTTAATGAACTAGCGACTGGACATATACTTGCACACATAGTGATTTATATGTGGAGGTCAGACAAACACGAGAAATGAAAACTAAAGTTATATGTGGCAGATGTAAAGTTATATGTGGCAGATGTAAAGCTTCACACAGCAGACGAGACACGTAATTTACTGCAAGTGGATTGACATAAATTGAGGTTACGAGTCGTGGGACGAATAATTTCTCCCTAAATATTTATCGAGTTCCACACAATATCATATTACGACACGGTGAATGAAATAATTACATTACAAATAATACAATTAAAGTAACCTTGTAGGACCCTGCGACCCACGGGGAAGGTGAAGTACAGTTCACCCGTTTTAGTGACCTCGGCATGTAAAGGGATAGTGTAGTCAGCACTATGTCAAGCCGCCTGTACTATACGTAAAGTGAGTTGGGTACGCATTAAGGCTGGGTGGACTTATGGGCGTTCTACTGACTTTAGACCGGTTTTGAACTCGAGACTTGCGGGTTAGCATGCCACGCCGTCCCATATTCAAAACAATACAGTATGTAAATGGTGTGGCTAGCAGCTACACAAGGCCCATAAGCTAAGAGTTGCAAACGACCCCTGAGCTAAGAGCTACACAAGTTCCTGAGCTTAGAGCTACAATGGTCCTAAGTTAAGCGCTACAAGCGCTACAATGTCCCCTGAGCTAAGAGCTACATGTGACCTTTGGTTTCCGACCACTGGCTAAGTGAACTAAGTGTTTTCTGTGGAAGCTTTGGGTCGTTATGAAGTCTGACAACGTCCTTACACGTTAGTAAAACGTTCAACACAGTTCACAAGGGGGCAGCCATTGCTTTATACATGATGGAATACAACGTTGGTCCAAATTAGACGGCCCAAACTAGACGGTTAAACTTGAAGGTCCAAACTAGACGGTCCAAACTAGACGGTCCAAACTAGACGTTCCAAACTAGACGGTCCAAACTAGACGGTCCAAACTAGACGGTCCAAACTAGACGGTCCAAACTAGACGGTTAAACTTGAAGGTCCAAATTAGACGGTCCAAACTAGACGGTCCAAACTAGACGGTCCAAACTAGACGGTCCAAACTAGACGGTTAAACTTGAAGGTCCAAATTAGACGGTCCAAACTAGACGGTTCAAACTAGACGGTCCAAACTAGAAGGTCCAAACTAGACTGTCCAAACTAGACGGTTAAACTTGAAGGTCCAAATTAGACGGTCCAAACTAGACGGTCCAAACTAGACGGTCCAAACTAGACGGTCCAAACTAGACGGTCCAAACTAGACGGTTCAAACTAGACGGTCCAAACTAGACGGTCCAAACTAGACGGTCCAAACTAGACGGTTCAAACTAGACGGTCCAAACTAGACGGTTCAAACTAGACGGTCCAAACTAGACGGTCCAAACTAGACGGTCCAAACTAGACGGTCCAAACTAGACGGTCCAAACTAGACGGTCCAAACTAGACGGTCCAAACTAGACGGTCCAAACTAGACGGTTCAAACTAGACGGTCCAAACTAGACGGTCCAAACTAGACGGTTCAAACTAGACGGTCCAAACTAGACGGTCCAAACTAGACGGTTCAAACTAGACGGTCCAAACTAGACGGTTCAAACTAGACGGTCCAAACTAGACGGTCCAAACTAGACGGTCCAAACTAGACGGTCCAAACTAGACGGTCCAAACTAGACGGTCCAAACTAGACGGTCCAAACTAGACGGTTCAAACTAGACGGTCCAAACTAGACGGTCCAAACTAGACGGTTCAAACTAGACGGTCCAAACTAGACGGTTCAAACTAGATGGTCCAAACTAGACGGTTCAAACTAGACGGTCCAAACTAGACGGTTAAACTTGAAGGTGTGTATTAGATGGTATGATTTAGTAATATTGCATTTGGGATAGTTTTATAATAAGAACTCAAGCTGCGCATTGTGTGTATGGATGTGTGTGTGTGTGTGTGTGTGTCTGTGTGTATGTGTGTGTGTGTGTTTAGGGTAGAGGTGGTGCTCTAATATCAATCATTAACTAATTCCAGACATTTATCTTTCAATATCCCCATCCCGTGTAGACGTATAGAACCACAGCACAGTCGCTATCGTGTATACATAGCTCCAGCAAAGTTTGGTTTGTTGAGGTTTGGGGTCATGTATAACCAGCACGTACATTTGTAGATCTCTTAGCAGGAACCTTTCACTACCGTGTTCAATGGAAGAACAATGTCTCTCTCTCTCTCTCTATCCCTCTCTCTCTCTCTCTGTATATATATATATATATATATATATATATATATATATATATATATATATATATATATATATATATGTATATATATATATATATATATATATATATATATATATATATATATATATATATATATATATATATATATATATATGTGTGTG